TTTGGCGTCGAGTACGTGCAGCTATCTTTTGATGTGAATAATTCAATTGACCTGACTCCTGTCAATAGCATGGTTCGCGTCTGCTCCAGCATCGAGGGCTCCGTCGCCCCCGAAAGCACCTTCCCGCGGGAGCTCTCTGTGCTCGTGAATGACCGCTCTGCCGCCATGCCCACACACATGTTCGGTGTGTACTCGCGCGAGAATCCCCCAGCAGGCGAGAAGAGGCGCCTCACCATCTATCCCCAACACGCTATCGTCTGGGCCGCGCATTGTGCGTCGTTGCCCACGCTCCCCGCCTCGAACCCGCAGCCTCCGGCGTCGCCTACGGACCGCCTCACCCTGCCCGTTGTACCCCTGCGCCTGCCCGATCCCGAGTCATTCCCGCTCCTCTCCACATACCTCTACACACATCGCCTCGAGCTGCTCCTGCAGAACCTGCTCCCTGCACCACCACCGGCCGCGAACGCGGACGCAGAGGTCCTCATGGGCTACGCGCGCATGCTCGCACGGACGTTCACAGGCCACGCGCTGTACGAACACCTCATGAAGCTGCAGGGCCTGTGGAAGAACTCGACCTCGCTCGGCATCTTTGAGCCCGGGCTGTGGGCGATGATCGACCTCGTGTGGGAGATCCTCGTGAATGCGCTCTCGATCTGCCACGAGAACCCCCACGCAGACACCATTCCCCCACCTATGCCCGCCAAGACGTTCCCGTGCTCGTACGCGATGGAGACCGACCCTGCTCCGATGCCGACGCCTGCGCCCGTGCCTGTTCCATCGTCGCCGCTGCGCGCGCAGCTATGAGGGGCGGCCGGGTGTTTGCCTTGCGTTGCGGTTCGGTGGCGGGGTTGTGCGATATCCTTATTGCGTTGCGACTTGTGGACTGTTTATTGGGTTGTTTCTTTCGCAGGGTGAGCGTTTAAAGGCCGAAGAGAAGTCTGATACCAATGGACAATGGCACATATGTACTACTTATGCACTCCTTGCCCGTACCATTATTACTGTATGATTCGTATGATGTATGATTCACGGCTTTAGTTTAGTAATGCTTGTAACGAATAGATCTTTCTTCCTCTCATTTGTCGCTATGAGGTTGCACGGCTTGGGAGCGTTTGAACGGTGTCTGTTGACATGGTTGTAAGTTGCATTTTGTTGACTAGGCAACAGCGTAGAATGCATAGAAGGCGACTGAGTCATCTATGCTCTCATTATTCTAAGCCCTGATACTAAGCAATCCATATACCGCTGAGAATCCGCCACTGCTCGGCTCCCTCGTCGGTCCACGTTCTGGCACTGGCTCGAGTTTACAGTCTTATCCTCAACCACCATCTCTGGTCGACCATACCATCATTATTCCTCCAATTGCGCGGGGTAGTTCGGCTTGGCGCCGGGTTTCGTCGTGGTCGTCACTGGTCCTGGATATGCGTCCGCATTGGTGGTGGCTTGCACGGCGCACGCGCGCGAAAGCTGCCAAGTTGCCGGGGTGCTTGTGCGCCGCGCTCGGTCGTCGGCTGCTACTCACCGCCGTGTGTCCGGGGTAGCAAGCCCCCTGGATTCAATTCGTGTTTAGGGGACCAGGAGATCCACCTGACTTTCGCGTCTACAGACTCTGCAATTTTTTCTTTATTGCCTTCGCTCAGGTCCCAGCCACAGCTATGACGCAGACGGCTCCGCCGGCCCGCGCACGCACCATGAGAACGTCGGGGCTCCGAGTTCGAGTCCGAGTGCGCAGAGCCGCACATCGCCCTCCTCCCACCATCACCCTCAGGACTCCGGTACGTACGTCTCGCTGCGTCCACCAGTCTGGTCCAGCTACACACCGTTGCAGATCCTCAGATCGCGCAGCAACCAACTATGCGGACAGAGACAGAGACAGACACGCCCCCGCGCCATATCGTGATTGTCGGCGGGGGGATCATCGGGTGCACCACGGCGTACTACCTCTGCGCGCACCCCGCCTTCGCGTCCTCCGGCACGACGGTCACCCTCCTCGAGGCGTCGAAGCACGGCGTCGCACAGGGCGCGTCCGGCAAGGCCGGCGGGCTCGTGGCGAAGTGGGCGTATCCCAAGGAACTCGTGGACGTCTCCTTCTCGGAGCACGTCCGCCTCGCGGAGGAGCACGACGGCGCGCGGCGCTGGGGCTGGCGCTACGTCGGCTGCGGCACCTGGGAAGGCCGCGGTGCGCCGGCCGGCGGGGACATGGCGGACACGGACACGGACACGGGCAGCGGCGCGGGCGGGCG